TATGACGGTATCAATCGCTTTTTGTCAAACACAGTAAGAATAAGTATTTGTTTATTTCTTATATTTGTCTTTTCTCTGAGGTTGTGTTTTTAGGTTTCCGAGACTCGCATTCAATGGTTCGCACGACAGTGAGCTCACATGATCTCTCATTCGAAGCACCTGAAAGAGCTGTTAGAGATTTTTTTGCTTTCTCACTTCCCCACTTTTTGAATGGAAAATCAGTTCAGGTCCACTTTTACGACGATGACATCAATAAGAGTTTGGATATTAGTTCATCAATGGAAATCACTCTGCGATACCTCAAGGAAAGAATTGAACAGTTGGAGAGAGATAAGGTAGGTGAAGCACGCAAAGTTGCAGTGGAAAAGGGTATTCAAATCATTTCTTATGGAGTGGAGCTCAGGTGGAGCTGACCAACGACCTTGCATCACAACGTGAAGAAATGCAGGAAAATGCTGCCAAAGTGAAAGAAGCATCCGGCATCATACAATCGCTGGAAAAACGAGTTAAAGTTTTGCAAAATGGTGGGTGATGTATTTAGAACTTAAACTGCCATTATTTTGCAACAAAAAAGACTCATTGAACGATTAATTATGTCACCACTCCCCATGGTTTTCAATTTTTCAGTTCACCTAGGAGAAACATAAAAACAGAAGTTGTTCGTATTCTGGAGCATTATTATCAAATGTGACCATCGTAGCGGCGAGTTTCCATCTTTTTTTCTTGAACACACATATCATGGAAACCAGTCGGCGATGGCTCTTCTCCAGCGAATGTCGTTAGATCGCGTAACGTGTTCGGTTCAGAGCGCCTTCCTTTATCCCTCTGAGCTCTGACGGACTCCACATCGATGTAATAGCGTGTAATTGTTCACTGGAAGGAAACGAGGGTACTGCGTTTCTGTATTCTCCAGAATATGTGATCTGCAGTGAATATGACGATCAGTTACTGGAATAGAAGCTGTAAATGACCATGTTCATTGTTTTTCTGGACTCGTTGACCGTTCTGTCAAGGAAACGGAGTGTATCTTAGTGTTATAATTGGAGATGTTTCGAAGGAAGTTGCTGAAAAGTTCCTGAAGCTTTAGTTTACGTTGTTGCTGTTTTTCATCTTGTTTTGTTGTCTTTGCTCATAAATTTTCTGGTCCATTATTTGACTTGGTAGTTAGTTGATTAGTTCATTGACATGTTGAGTGAAAAGTCCATGAACGGTGGCATCCTTGGTTTACAGTTCATCGAATTCCTTGCTTCTGCAAATGATGTGCTTCATGAAGATGCCGTGTGTTTATCACATAGGTAGCCATATAGCGTTGTTAAAAAAAAACAGTAAAAGATAAAACGTTAAGCGTTGACCAATCACTGAAGGATGGGTTGTAAATTTTCCTTCATTAAGCATTATAGAGGCGATCGAATGGAAAGCCTTGGTGGGTCTCGTGCCGCGAGATCGAACCAACGACCGCATGTGTATTGCAGAGGGTCTGATAGTCACGTCTGTACAGAGTTTCGTAACTCATATTGGTCAAGCAAGACTTGAGTTTCGTTCCATTTCGTTCAACTGGCAAATGCAATCATCATAACGAAGTTTCTCAATTCGGTGGAAAACTTCAAATTTGTCTGGATCGCAGCCAGATGTTGTAATGCGTTAGTCGTACCGTAATCAGTCAGCGTCGGCTTGGGACCACGTCTTGAAAACAGAAGAGACACAGTTAATGTGGTAACTATTTTGATCTCCCATATCCATTATCTTCACATGCGCATAGTAATGTGGGAACTGGGCGGCTGTAATACCTTTGGATAGACGACTGGCCCATAATGGAGTTATTGTCTTTCTTTGTGGACGTCAGCGAGGTCCAAAATCTTGAAATGTATTCTGTTTGTGGAGTAAAGATAATAGAAAAATACACGGTCGGACATATAATTTATTAATGTGGACATAGGATTCGACGTAGACGAAAATTTGAAGCACTTCTGAATGATGACGTGTGTGAAACAACTAAAACACTGTAGTTGGGCATGTGTTATCCACACACTTGTGTGTACAAAGCATGATTTCCCAATAATTTGAGAGCTATTTGACTAGATACTGTCATATTTGTTTGATCCATCTTCACATATCATGTGGTTCCTAGCAGTTATTCAAATCAGTAGTATTTCGTTGCGTCGCAATCGTCATTTACGGAGGTGGTTAAGTTTGAATGCGGCTTCGGTGTGAAACTTGAGCACCTTTGGAATTATATTCTCATTATCATGCTGATTGCTCCTCATAGAAACTAGCAGCACAAATAGGGCACAAAAAGACGAATCCCAATTTCTAGATGCGCTTTTTTTTAGTATTTTTGTTTTTGTATCCTCAGTATCTCTCATTTGGATACGTAGATGGCCAGTCTTCACTGGTTTGCGGGCCTTAGCATAGTTTCCACACTTTTTTGAGTTTTACTAGTTTCTCTGTTGTGGTTCCCCAGGGTCCTGAGGTCAGTCTAGCCAAAGCCCGCCGCAGGTCGCTACAGCCACAGGCAGTCGCCGCCCTTGTGGATCAGAGAGAGAGATTTTTTACCAAGAGATTCAATAAATAAAACGATTAAGATTGTGATTATAACTAAAGCGTCAGCTTAGCTGGGTTCATTGGCGATTTGGGCTCCCTAGATCAATCCCGCTGGCGGGTGATGGCTGACGGCAACAGATCAATAGAACTATCTGAGAGACAGGCGAAGCGAAGGACCCGTGTGGTGTGGTGGTGAACGCTTTACTCCCCGGAAAGAACAATAGCGCGTTTGTTCCCCACTGCATACACCTGCGGTCCGGAGTTTTGCAAATATCTCAGCATTATAGAAGTTATATTTCGCAGCATATCCTGCCGTAAAAAAAAGAATAGGCAGCAAGTAAAAAGGTTATAATTGTGATTATAACGATAGCCTCAGCCTCACTGGGTTCGTTGCCGATTTGGGCATCCCAGATCAATCCCGCTGGCGGGTGATTGCTGACGGCAAAAGATCAATGGAACTATCTGAGAGACAGGCGAAACGAAGGATCCGCATGGTGTGATGGTGAACGCGTCACTCACCGGAAAGGACAACAGCGCGTTCGTTTTCCACCGCACACCTGTGGTGCGGAGTTTTGCCATTAACTCAGCTTCATTGAAACTATTAACGAATCAACATGCTGGTTACATTACGCGTACACATAAACAGTTCCACACATATTAAAGTAGTTGTGATTATCTATCTAAGTGTTCTTACGAAGTCCTCTCCTTGTGTAGTTGACGAGATGTTGATATAGATGTTCTTAGTGTTGCTGTAGTCGTTTTTAAATGGCTGACGTTTCGGCCAGTTGGTCTTCCTCAGGGCCGTGCAGTTGGTCTACTTATGTGTTGTTGAGTGAACACGATGGATGATAAGTGAACACCTCGTGAACAGCGCTCGGGTGGTCTATCGGCATGGCTCTGAGGAAGGCGAAGTTGCCGTAACGTCAGCCATTGAAAAAGGACAACAACAACACTGAGAACATCTATACCAACCTCGCATCAGCTAAAAAGTGGCAGTTCTTAAGAACGTATATATAAATCTATCGATTGTTATGTCGAGGTTTATAGAAAGTCGATCTTTTAGGTTTCTAAATGTGAATATATGTATACGTAATATTTATGTGAAGCTGACACAGCAGGAACATAGTGCTCACTCATCCGTTGAATTCTCATGCACACCGAAACAAATATAAATTCGCTTCTAATCCACTTTAATTCCTTTTGCGATTAGGTCGCTATAGACTGCTCATATAAAGTTGATTCACAATCTTAACCCTTTTATTTACTGCCTTTTTCTTCTTAATGGCAGGGTATGTTGCGAAATATAACTCGTATGAAATGCTGAAATATTTGCAAAACTCCGGACCGCAGGTGTATGTAGTGGAGAACGAACGCGCGCTGTTGTCCTTGCCGGGGACCAGCGCACTTCACCACCACACCATCCGGGTCCTTCGTCTTGTCTGTCTCTCAGCTAGTTCTGTCGATCTTTTTGCCAGGGATCGGTTCAGCTTAACTGGGTTCAATGCCGATTTGGGCTGCCCAGATCAATCCTGTTGACGGGTGATTGCTGATGGCAAAAAGATCGATAGAACTAGCTGAGAGACAGGCAAGACGAAGGATCCGAATGGTGTGGTGGTGAAGTGCGCTGCTCCCCGGTAAGGACAACAGCGCGTGTTCGTTCCCCACTGCATACACCTGCGGTCCGGAGTTTTGCAAATATCTCAGCGTTTCATGAAAGTTGATTCAATTTATGTTATGAATAGAGATTAAAAATTTCTTAATAAAGCTTTCGAGCTTTACCTGATGTGCAGTTCAGTTGAAATACCAGGATCTAAGCGCTAGTATGTGTTCGTGGGTGGTGGTATATGTGTGCTACACATTCAGTTAATCCCTTTCCCATTATTGTTGCTGCTGTTGTTATATTGTAAATGTAGTGAAAGAGTATATTCACGATAGCTTGATTATACAGAGATACTTAGATGGTCTAACTTTACATGCCTCAAGGTTGGCAGCACTTCTTCCATACTACTGGTCACACAACCCTCATTTATTGTTTCTGTCGGTTTTATGCACGAGTTTTTTCACAGTTTGAGCACATGCTGTCCCTGGCATGTAGAATGCTGACGTTTTTCTTACAAGACCCGACACCACTTATTGTGTGGATCCCAGCACTTCTTGCATTCGATTCGTTTCCTCTTTTTCATCACTGATTATGCTCTCTGAACTACAGCGATTGGGTTCGACTGCTGGTTGAGAATTTTTGTCTAATTTATGCATGTAATTGAACGCTGATCGAGTCGTTTCCACATGGATTTGACAGGGTGAACTGATTTCAGACAAGTCTGCTATCAATTTTCCTACCTGGGAGGGATGGGGTGCTCGTTAGACCCGAAGCGGAATCAAAGCAGCGCCTTGATCATGATGAAAGGGCATCATTACTATTGAGTTTGCTTGCCCTGCGTGCTGAAGTAAATCTGGCCATGCTAAACGTTCCCTTGTTTTCACTACAGACACTCATCAACTGATTTAAAAAGCTTAGCTTATTGTTTAATTACATGTGTCTATATTTTTTTTCCTGTGCTCTTACTTAATATTTTGCAGTTTTGAAGAATGGATCAGATCGCCATCATACTATCTTTTTGAGCAAGTTGGTTGTGTGACTGATGACTGACTAACCTTTATGTTCATAACTTTAGTTCAAAGAGTGTTCTTATCATCATTCATGATGCGCTTAATTTCGCTTCCACTTTCAGAGAACGAAAACCTCGAGTATCGTTTGGCGACACAACGACAGTTGTACGTGTCAAACGAGGAGACTATGCGAGCCAGGGACTTGGAACATCGTGGTCTCAAGGCTAAGATCATGAATGCTGAGTTGCAAATCCGCGAGAAAGATAACATCATCGGCCGACTTACGGTTCGTTTGTGCCTTGTTCGGAACCAGAGTATTTTCTTTACCAAAATGACGTACCATGGGTATGATTTTTATGTGTTGGATCTGAGTTTGAATCGAGCGGGCCAAGTAAATTGTTTCAGAACCAACTAGAAACTATGCGTCAGGAAACATCCGAGATGGCTGCCGAAAAGCAGAAGCTCAGCTCAATTGGAAAAGCAATGGAACAAGAGGCGAAAGCTTTCGAGGAAGATGCTAGAGTATTTCAGAAGGAGCGTGAGATGCTCGCCGCACAGTTGGCCGAAGCCAAAACAGAGCTCAAGGCATGTTTGTGGTGATTTCGAAAGGCTAGTTGATTTAGGAAAAATCTTAATCTATTTTCTTCATTAACATCTTTTTCATATTATCCTTTACTACGACCTAGGAGCATAAAAAGAAAAATTTGTTTTGATTAATAAAGCTATTCATACGTAAAAATTAACGACAAATTACTTAATTACTTGATGCTTGAACGACCCGTCCTCACTAGTTGTGCGTGCCCCAGCATAATCACCATTTTTCGGAGATTTGCTGGTTAAGCCATTATGATTCCCTGGAGTCGCGAGGTTAGCCTGGCCAAAGTCTGCCCCAGGTCTTCACCATCACGGGCAGTTGCAGCCCTTGTGGATCAGAGGGAAATTTGCCGCCATGCGACTTTGCTACCAGGATGGTGGTGGATCCTGATATTAGTTTACTCTTAGCTAATCTTCCTAGTGGAGACGCCGGACTCCTCAGCTTGGGAGACCCTGCTGGGAGGATGGATTTCCCCGCTGTACATCGCAGTCCGACACGCAGGAACACCTTCCAGCCACGATGAGGCGGTAAACCGTTCGAATGTAATGGCAAATTATGTTAGTTAATTTTAACATATGTAATACAAACGGCCCATTATTACATAGAAAGCGTAAGGTCGTGGTTCGATTCTTTCCTAGACCAACTAAGGCTTCCATGCTTCTGGAGTCGGGGTATTGGTACGGAACTTTTCTGAAAATCTTGCTCAGGTCCACAAGACCTAGGAACGCGTCAATGCGGCTATGCCAGAATCAGCCTTCGAATAGTGAGAACTGTCTCGACCAGCATTCAGCAGCATTCATAACAGAAGTCGAGCAACAAAAACGTAACATCTGAACCCACGCTCGAATCCAAAAACCTTCATGGATGATGGATTCGAGGAAACTAAAGAAGTGGAAGGTGTAAATATATGTGAAACCGTCATGTAACGAAAATACTACGACGCCTCCATAATTCTAATACTTTTCTATTTTTAAGAGTAAGATTATGGCATGCTTACGACTCGGAATTAATATTTTCATCTAGTATTTCGAGTTTTTCTTTAAACTTTAATCAACTTCTAACTTTAAAAATGTGGTTCTCTAACTGATGTTCAGATTTCGCATGGTCGCCTGATTGAGTATGAATCAGATCTACAACAGATGAAAAGTCTGCTTGAGGATGCCCGAAAAATACAACAGAAAGACAGAGAACACTTCCAGAAACTTCTGTCTGAAGACAAACATTGGCAGCAAATGGTTAGTATTGTTCGTTTCCTCCCTCTAATTTCGCCAATTTTTTTGTGACTGAAAGGCATATTTTGCTACGAGATCGCTATTTATGACCCTGGGTTGACTGAAATTTTCTGCATTTCTTTATGACAAGTTGAATAAAAAAGACTTGATGCAAGCCTTGTGTAAGATTACAAACAAAACAACATGTCACTCAAGGAACCGTAGTTTCTTCACATAAGGTGAACAACATGTCACTCAAGGAACCGTAGTTTCTTCACATAAGGTGAACAACATTTAAAGGGACTAATCGTCATTATAAATTCACTGTAAGAAAATGAGTTTTAGGTAGATACGACGAAAAAATCATCGGAAGTCAGTCAGAGATTAGTTCTTGAGGAAAAGATCTCTCAGCTGCAACAAGACCACGATATGCTTTTGTCCAGAAATAATTCACTGCTCACAGAGACCGATAGATTACGGTACGACACTGTAAAAAGCATGTTTGGCAACATGTGTTTTGACAATTGTTCTTTTCATTAAGGTCTTTCTTCTTTCAAAATCTATTTCAGTTTAGAAAAGTCGTTTAGGGAAGAGCTTCGTATGTCAAATTACCGCTTTGATCAATTAACTTTAAAGTTGTCGAAATCCGAAAAATCGCTTGAAAGTGTGAATCAGTCGAACAAGGATCTAACGCAACAAATTTTAACTTTTCGTAAAGATAAAGATGAATGGGGAAGACTCGAACGAGAAATGCGAGAGGAGCTGGTGGTTTTACGTAAAGGTAAGCTAACAAAGTTCTATTTATGCTTAGTGACATTTATGAACTTCTAAATATATTGTGAATTCAATGTCCAGTACGTATTAAATATCTCCCTTCACTAGTTCATATATTTGAGAGAAATTTGTCTTTTTAATGAGGTAAACGATTTAGATCGGTTGGTTCTCACTTCGGAAGTTGAAGAGTTGAAGCGTAAACTAGTACGAACCGAAATAGAGAGGAAAGAGGTGGATGGCCTCCGTGCTCGACTCGATCGCGAAGTGACGTCGCTAAAGAAGCATGTCGAAGCCGTACGTGTAGACCTTTAAGTAATTTCCGTGTTAAATGCAAAATGATTTGCAATTAAAGCTTGAAGAAGATAAATCGCGAACAGAAGCTGCCATTCGGAATACGATGAGTGAGCGAAGAGCTATAGATAAATCGTTGGCTGCGATGGAGAAAGAGAATACTGAACTATATAGGAACTGTGCTCAGTTGCAGTCTCAGGTGGGAATGCATTCACTAGAGGAAATATTCATTTTTTGAGCATGAAATTCAAACATTGATTCAGATTGCCCAACTTGAACGAGATTCAGGCCCGAATACGATAGCAAAAATGTTGAAGGACCAAAAGGAATTAGAAGGCAGGATGACAAAACTCGTGGTGGAAAAACAACAGGTGGTAATTGATGTAACTATACAGAATTGATTGTTTATTCTAAAACTGTAATAAGGATATCAAGTTGTTTTGCGTTAGTGTTACCGATACACTAGATGAATTTACAGGTTTTTTCATTGTGAATTCGCCGTTGATGTTAACCGTTTCCGATTTACAGTTTTTAGCTTGAGATGGTCATTGAGCAAAAAGAGATGAACTTCTCACAAGAACGTGAGACAATGGTTTCGCAGTTGGGTACGCTTCGCGATCAACTGGAAATGGAAAAGAAACGACGATTGGATTTGCAGAAGGAAGTGCGAGCCGCGGAACGCACCGTTGTTCCAGAACGCCAGTTCAGTCGTACTTCTGGTATTCATATAACTCGGTCGAAGTCGATTCAGAGACGATCGAACCCATTCAGGGTATGAATGGTTAGATTTATTGTATTAAACAGACTATCACGCGTGTCACTGCGAGGCTGATTTACTGCTTTACTTTGTTTCCTTCTATGTTTTTTCTTTGGAATTTCTTGTTTTTCTACTTGGTTTGCTTGGACAGCTTTTGATGTTCCCAGTTGACCTGTCTTTACCCTGTGCATACAGCCGTTCTAAATCCCTATAGTTAAGGACTGCTACACTCTTGATTTACTAATAATTACTTGTGCTTGATAATTTAGTTGTAGTAAGTGTTGCAAGTCGTCTTTCTCTACCGATCTCATCCTACACTTTGCCACGTTTTGTGTTAATTCGTGAAGATGTTTCGCTTTATGTTCGTCCGCGTTCTTTTTTAGAGCGTCGTGAGCGGTTCCTGGAGTTGTTTCACAATCATTATATATCTAGTCTTCCCATTCTCATTTCCATGTATTATCGCCTTCTGCTAACTGCATGTATGAACTACCAAACTCTCGATATCAGAGTGTCTTTCGGAGACTGCCTTTGTATGTTTTACTGCCACGCATGTTTGTGAGGCACTCAAGGGAAGGTTTTCTTTTTCCATAAGGATTATTATTATTTCAGTATATAAGAATGTGAAAGCTTTCTGCTTGCGAGCTTCTCTCATTCGTAGATCTTCCAGTGCGTTCGAACTTACCGCCCTATCTACTTTTCATTATTTGCTAGTTGAACCAAAATAAATTGATTCCACTCGAGCTCGTAACAGCGTAGTTCTGAAGAGTTTTCATTGATAATCCTCTTTCCTGTCTATCAATATCCATGGATCGAGGGTCAGGTCTTGACGCTGGCAGTTTTAATAGGACTTCATTAATAACTAGTGAAGAAGTTTGCTAAACGCTTGCATTTCTGACGTCATTTGGACTTAACAGGCTTGGTTCCGTTCTAACACATGCTATGGTTTTGACGCAGGAAATCCTAGCAGTTGGACTTCTTTTCGTTTTTCCAGACAAAAACTGAATGCTTTGATAACATTCGCTATACAGCAAATGCAGCAAGCTCACCAGAGTTCTAGTAGTATTGAGCTTCTGTAGAACACTACATACATGCCTAGTTTCAGATGCACAGTGATCGTGCTGTTTGGCGTCAGTTGTACGAACGTACCTACCACTACCAGTCATCGATCTCTTCAATCTCATCTGGATCTTACCTCACCAATGACACCTGCACTAGCATTGAGACCGTCATATACTAGTTTAGCACCGTTTACACTTACTGTTTGAAACGAGATGATTCCTTGTGTTCTTTCACTTATCGATTCACTGACTTTTATTTTGTTATATCAGCAAGTTCACATCCTTATGCGTTGTGTATAGAACTATCTAGCGACAAATTGTCTTTCTTAATCACTTACCTTTGCTGCCATTGTTGGAATGGCCACACAAGCTACATGCAAACTCAGCGTCGCTTGTAAATCGCATGTAAAGATGCTTAAAAAGGGATTTCAGTGGGAGACAATTTCTGTTGGAGTTAATCCAAGCAAATTTCAAATTAGCTTGATTCCGGTATGTGGACATATCAGAATAATAAACAATTTTTACATGTTGCGTAGAAGAGAAACAATTGGAGTAGATAATCTATCTTTCTGCGTCTTTATTAATCGACTTAAGGTTCCTATATAATAACGATGATTGGACCACTACATATGACAGTGTTTCAACTTCTAGAGAATACTGTGGATGCACACCTTCATGCATCGTCTGCATTTGCTTGTCAGGTACAGTTACCTAAAGAGCTATGCCATGGAAACAGTTCAAGAAGCTTATCGTTGACATTCAGCTGCTTATCACCTGTAGTTGACAATGCCACTTCTCTGTGCTTTTAAAAGTACATACACAAAGCATTCCATACATCGTCACTGTTCGAAGTTTCCAAATGTAATTTCCTCACAGCTGCGTGAGAACAAATATGTGTATGGGAAAAGCATCTCTAGAATTGTACAACGAAGTTTGACACCCATAAACAGCGGTGACGACACACGAAGGATTTAGAAACGGAAAAGCCAATGAGGAGACGTGTACGCCAAGTGGTCGACACTGAGTGTGGCCAAAGTGTGATCGCGAAGAATTAAACACGAAAATGTCGGCAATGCCTTTTCTCGTCAGAGCAATTAGAACAGTTGGAGAGGTCCGCTAGTAACTACGATGTTTGTGTTTGAAATTCAGCGTTAGCAAAAACTGTTAAGAGCTGTTTGATTGCTCTAGTTGATGATTCTGTTTCGGCGATTATCCTCATTTCGGTGTGATGGGGACAGGGTAGAGCAGTCGTAATGGTGCCAAGCATCACGAGTACCGTGGCCAGAGTCCATAAAGCCTCTTATCACTCTGGGATCGAGAGATTGGCACCGGACTTGTCCAGGAGAAAATCACTCTCTGCAATCCAATTGGAACGGTTCATCCCACCTACCAGAGGACTCCAGGGAAAATAGAGTCAACCAGCATTCAACGACATCCACAAAGAAGACGATAATCCTCAAGCAGCAGCTGAACTTACAGACGAAATTTTCAAAGACCTTGATTGATGTATGCGAGGACATGAACTGAATGCAAGAAGTGCTGGGAGCCTCACAGATCTGAAGAAGGATTACATTAAATAAAAATGTGAAAAAAGAATATTCGGCTTATCGAAGATGGTGATGTGACTTGCATCTTTGGAAGCTATTCCATTATGTGCAGTGGCTTTAGCAGCGTTTAACGTTGCTTGTACACAGAAAAGGTGTCCCCTTAGCACTCCGCTTTCACTGAGTGTTTTTTTTTTAATTTCAAAGTCGTACCAAAAAACCGGGAAACACTGTTTTCTAGGGATACATCTTATTGCTGCCGTTTGAAGTATTACTTTTAACATGAGCACAACGGAATTGCAAGAAAGAAAAAATGATGTCCAGAAAAAAATGGCCATTGAGTTATATATCCTTGTTCTTGGACTGGTGTGTGTGGTGGTGAACGCAAAGAATGACCGCCACTGTGAAAGGAAACAAATCTTGAGGTAGCAAGCTTGTCCCGACCCACAAAGACCACTTACTCATTAGTAACAAGGGAGTGCATTTAAGTATTTTTCAGAACATCGGTGAAGAATATGGCCAACTCAAGGATACGTCAGTTAATTGCGAATATCGTGGAGCTAGTCCAGATATTTGTGAAGGTTACTCAGCTATCCAATTATGATAGAAGATACGGAGAGTAGATTTAACTTCTCGCGATGCTGACGGGATTGCCTGAGGAGTTTGTTAGTTAACTAGAAGGAAAAGAACTGCGCAGAATTACTACGATACAATAGCTGACGTTTCGGCGGTTTCGTGTTTTTCAGAGCCGTTTATTCGTTGTATTTAAGTTAGTTGGTGGATAGCAGCCGCGCAGAGTAAAACATGTATTATTGCTATCCGCCAGCCAACTGAAATACTTACAACGAATAAACGGCTCTGAAGAGCGTGAAGCCGCCGAAACGTCAGCTATTGTATCCTAATAAATTCTATAACAACAATCTCGTGTCTGCTTATTGAAGAAAAACATCGAATTATCAATTAATGCCAAGGTTAACAGAAAATCGGTCGTGGGAATGTGCAGAATTACTAAAACGAAGGAAATGGTACTAATCTCTGCTTTATCTGGAACCTACTTTAGAGCTCAATTTGGTGTAAAAAAAAAGTTGTTGCACTGACTAATGAAACTGAGAGGACGAAATCACCCACACGAGACACGCTCACCCTACCGACGAAGAGTTCCTCGTATACCTATCGAGTGTACGCTACGCGCTGTTCAAGAACGTTATCCACATGCACATGCCAAGGACATTGAATGAGGCGACGGGAATTCTACAGTATGCGCTGTATCCAGACCGTGTCTCGGGTCACAGAAATCTCTCAGGAGTACCACCTGCAGCCTGTTCTAACCATTATCAACAACGACAAAACGTTCGACAGTGTCTAAACGAATACAATCGTATTAGCTCTCGTGGACCAAGGAGTGGAGCCGTTCTATATAGGAACTCCAGATCGTGTCTGACTGGTGTCTTCTATCGTATCTGCACCACAAAAATACGTTTTTATCGACCTCTCAGCATCACCATACGATGACAGGTTTAACAAGGTGATACTATACCACCAAAGGTGTATTAATTGGTGCAATAGAGTGGTAAAATAGTAGCGTTGATCGGCTTGTTGAGTTGAGCGTAGAGTACGATTCGAGTCGGCCAATGCACCAAGTGCATTAGTTGGTGCAATGGAATACAAGACTTCGAGTCAGTCTACGGCACAGAATAATTCCTTACTCGAAGTAGAACGCTCGGCCCTGCATGGTTGCACTAATTACAGAGACCTCCTCGTACGTATGCTTTGGTCGTTCGAAGAACATGGAAAATAAACTGTGGAAGAGATTATACTAAAGAAGTAAAGCAGCACGGGCCGCTCTGAGCCACTCAAGGAAGCCTAGGACCAATTAGCGGACTCAAAACTTCGCGCGCACCTTTTCAACTCAGCACTCCACCTACCGCCCTCTTACGCAGCAAGGACGTCGGTTTACACTTTTGCCGCGCCATGAATTCTGCACGCGGCACACAGTGCGATTGAGCGGAGACCTCCGAAATTCAACCGCCACAACATCTAGCTGGAATGCGCAACCCAGATCTTCAAAACCCGTCGCATATTCGGGATCCGAGAAAACATGGATCGATGACGAAGCACAGATAGGCTGCTGGCGTATTAACAAGAACAAACAAGATATGGACGAAGAGAACCGCAGAGTTGGCAGCCAACGTCGTCTTTCTGCATTCACAGTTAGAAGTGAATTTAGGATTACGGAATATGCAGTAATCATGTTCGACGTAGAACAGCACCGTGGAAGAGGAAACAGAAATCAATTGATTCCAATCAAAATGATTGCTTTTTTGAATTTTTATTTAGTTTAAATTACTTAATTTCTTACTCGAGAAAGAAACCGACCGAGAATGTGCTGATGTACCACTCCTCATGAAGATAGGCCATC